TTTTTACGCACAGAGCCTCCGTGTAAAAGGTTAAAAGTGTTACGCTTGGTTGAATAATCTTAGATAATGTAAACGGAGGCATTTTTGCTAAATAAATCCAGAAGAAACAGCCGCATTATTCAAACACATATCACCTAAATGGATTCTTTTCAGATTTCAATACAACCAATTGTACATGTGACTTGTTTCAAATAATAAGTGCAAACAATAGAGCTTCTGTGCTGGCCGTCGAGGCAAACTGCTGCTGACGTGTAATCTTAAGCGATTCTCCTTCGAGACTCGAGGAAGTAATGATGGCGTCGGACTCTGCAGCAGGTTTATTGGTCACTCGACTCTGGAAAGCTTATCCGCTGTCATCTGGTCTATTGTCCCCGTTATCTGAGTCGATCAGGGCTGAGTTGAGCCTCTGTTGGCCTCCACACAGAACAGATGGAGGACCTCCACCTGCAGAGAGAACTGAAAGAACGCTGCCTGTGATCTGTCTGTCTACTGGAGGAAGTCAGAACGAGGTTTAAATTGATGGACTCTGACCTGCTGGAGATGACGGTTGAATAACCTTTGGAAAAACTTGATGTCTTGCAAATGATTGCAATTGAATCACCTGATTGCCGGTGTTGTACTATACGGTTGCAAAGCAAAACCACAATGAAACACGTTGGCACAAAAGGAAAGGGAACCCCGGTTGCATTTATCATGGACTCATGAAAACACCCTTCCTATGCAACACCAAGCTGTATTTCTCCACCCGCACTGAGGCTTGCTTTTGGATTTGTGCCACACGCGGATTTATATTTCTCCACTAACTGCTCGAGGGCAGTTGTCACCCATTTCAGCTTTTATTGGCTCATGCCCCGTTGTTAAATTCTGCAGGGACTCCATGTCAGGACAGGCAGCAGCAGGATTCCATCTAATCAGCGTGAAAAGTGCCCACCAACGTTGCAGACCAGAGGCTGAGCAGGAAGCCCGCTGGTATTCCAGGGAGAAAAGAAGACAAATAATGACTAAAGGTTTGTCATAAAGATGCATGGATTTCATTCTGACTCATATATTCAATTAAAACCCATAAAAGTCAGAACTTTCTATAATTTACCACTTATGTGTCATTCCTTAGCGCACAGAACCATTGTGTCAGCGTGCTGTTGCAGTTGGAAGTCAAAACTCTCTCCCAGGATGCAACTCGTTCGTCCATTCAACTGGTTAATACAGTGTTAATAAATATGTCGTGGAGGCGGTATATGTCACTTCACTTGAGCGGTCAGGCTGTTTCTGCACACCTTTTGCATGCCACAATGTATTCACTGGGGTATTGTGACGTTGATTGAGGTCTCGGGAAAAGAGTCAAGAGCACCGCAGCACGGCACAATGTAGGAAGTTTAAGAGGGTGCGTGCCAAAGATAAGGAGCGAGCTTTGTCTTTAAAGTAGGTCTATTGTTCAAATTTGAGTTCCTCCTTTAAACACTAACGGATGCTTTTGCAAATATTTCTCTCTCTGTGTAGAAATATGATCATTATGACTTGTATTTGCCGACATCGGCTCCTGCAATCCACTCAAATCAAGGCTCCATGAAAGATTGATGTCTCTTCACTAACTATATTCACGTTTAAAGCAACATCACAAAACGTGTTTCTGGTTTCATGTCTTCATGTCGCGATGCATCAATTGAGAATGACGGATGAATCTCTCACCTTGGCCCAGTTCCCTCCCCCGTCCTTCTTCGCCCCAACAGACTTCGCAAACCGACCAAGGAGAGATGGAAAAACAAAACGCACCCCTATAGAGCCGTGGGAGACAGATAAAGAACGTGTGCATTCCAGAGTGAATAATGAACACGATGACAATATGCACAAGAATGCAGATAAATTCCAATCACCCAAAATCCTTTTAAAAAAAAAACGCTGAATCCACAATGCGGCCCCCGTACCAGAGGTCATGTTCTTTTCAGCGAAGACGGGTAACACGTGGCACAAAGTAGGTCCAAAACTGACAATACGGATCCAGGGGCGTTCAGAGCTGAACAACAACAAAAAACTTTTTCCTAAACGTCTGCCTACGTTACCTCGGCGGATGGAGAAGCTCTCGTTTGTTGCAGCTGAAAGACACAAAGCGCTTTTCAGTGCTCAGGAGAGAGATTAAAGGCAGTTACCCTAAAGCCCTTTTGTGCATTTAGGGGATCACAAAGTCAGCTTCCACAATATAGGCTGGATGCTCCTTTTTTTGTGTATGTGCTGATTGGAAAGAAGGGAAAAGTGATATTTTAAATAGAGGTATCATTATGAAAGATGATTCCGCGCTGACTTGCAGGGATGAGTTGGAACTGGAGTGCTCGGTGTTGACTGAACGGCGCTGCTCATTCTTCTCTTTATCTATCTGGCATTCTTCTGGCTCATTTCAATAGCCATTCTTCGCCAAAGAGCCCCCCCCCCCCACCCCCCCCCATACCCCTCCTCCCTTTCGCCGGCGTTCACACTTCTTGTGATTTGTATTCTAAGTAGCTCACAGATCTTTTGTACTGCCGGGCCGATAGCAATCTGAATCTTCACGCTGACAGTGGTGGCTGCTGATATCCTGCTGAAGTCACAGAAGAAAAGGTCCTACTTGGTGAAGAGGAATGAAATCTCTTCTGTTGGAATCCCACAGAAATGATAAGCCCCATGTAAACACAGACACCGCAGACGTTGAAAGCAAAATCAGCGCAATGATACCTGAAGAGCCACAAGGCAGCGTGCCAATGTTGCACTGGAACTCTGATATGTTTGTCCTTTTCAATTAAATCACAATGCAGAGAAGAAAAGAAAAACCTTTTTTGTGTCGCCCTTTAAACATCTGTACTAAAGTCAGTATTCAGATGAATCTTCTCTAAACTTGCACTTAGTTTAACTCTGCATTGTGTTATTTGCACATCAGGTGATTTTTAAATGTGAGACATTTTGTTTTCAAATGAGGAAAATCATTGTCATGAAACTGCTTCTGAGAGTTTGAGCAGTTAAAAGAGGAATCCCCCTTTGTTGTGAGAGTAATGAGGAATGTAAAAAAAAGCATTTCTGTATGTCATTCAGCACACCGATGGATTCCAGGAGCTCTGTTTTCAGGCAGATAGCTGATAAACTGTCTGCGTCTGAATGGCGTTGATAAGCGCGTCGTACCAATACAGTGGCCTCTCCCTGAGATCCCCCCCCATCCTCCTCCCCGGGTCCCCAACTGCAGGAGGCCCTGAAGAACACAGACACACGGATGAGTCTGTGAATGCTGCACTAATTCCTATTATTTGATTATCCATTCACCAATGTTTCGATACTGTATTAAAGTGATCTGAGCTCTGTTTTGTCTGCATTTCTGTGCTCACATCCGTGTGGTGTTTTCTTTCTATATCTATTCCAAAAAAGTATTAAAAGTAAATCTGTTTTTTTTCATAATTCAGCTCTGATTGTAATCATTTCCTTTTTCTTCCTAATTTTGTGTAAGCCCCTTATTGTATAAATAGTGGTGAGCTTTGGGGGATTTTGCAGGGGATGCAGCCCACCTGCAACACAGTGGTTTGCAGTACATCTTAACTAACCTCTGAAATAAGCTATTTAGGAAATATGTACAGTGCTGATATGCACAATATTATAAATCTGATAAATAGAAGGAAAAAACATGCAATGCAACACTGCAGATGAATATCGATGCAATTCGGAGAAGAAAAAATAGTTTTTGTTCTACGGAAATGTGTCTTCCTGATGTTTCCAAAATACGATCTTGTCACGCTGGCTCTGAGAATCCCTCTTCCGCCTCAGTGATGCAGATTGACTCATCGAATCTATCACTGCTCTCATATATCAAAGACATATACACAGTATTTGCATGCCACATGGAGGAGATTCGGTTTCAGACAACCGTCTGAGAGGAGAGGAGCGCGGGGCGGCGGCATTTGGTTTGGCCCGGCCCTGTCATCATACCTTAACTGAAATCAGAGAGGTTGGGTTAATCGGTGTGAAAATGGATGTTCTACACAGCGAGGCTCGATAGCCGTTTGATAGAAATCCTACATTATTGGCTGTGCGGCTCTTTTCAAATCCACCGGGGGTCATTTAGCACTTGGCGGCGCAGACATAACAGCACTTGAGGAGAGACAGGGTGTGGATGGAGGTGAGGACGGATTCAAACCCCCGCTGATGAAAACTGTCATCAGACACAGTTATAAAGTGATTTGTAGAGAGAAATACGAGGCCGGGAGAAGTCCGGTCTGAATGTCGGTCCTTGCCACGTGCAGAACCAGGAGGGAGGTGCGATTTATGGGGCTGCTGCTGGCGTCTCACCAGAACAGCGTGTGTAATTCCACAATTGCTCTAATCGCCCGAGCTCTCCTGGACAGAGACAAGAAAGACCTCCATTGAACTTAATGGAAATATGTCTGCTGTGTTATGTAGTGGGTCTTCGGAGTACTTGATAATGGTTGAATTACCATGTTATCACAATAACATGAATTATATTCATTGGCATACTCCAATAAAGTCCCTGGGTGATAGCGTACACCTGTGATCCAACATGGTGTTTCTGACTCTCTATAATACTCCTATAAGGATGTTGTTGTAATGTCATAAAGTTTATCAGGCTATATTTTTGCAGAATTGGCATAGTTTGCATTAAGTATTTTACTTTGCATGCAGTAATCCTGACACGAGATGGAGAGCAAGCACCAGCGGAACGCGGTTGAAAATGAAGTGTTGTTTCTTAACCGTGTCCGCATAAGAACGACACCCTCTCCAACAACTGTCCTTGATCTCCAGAGACTCGATTCAAGATTCTTCCTCTTCTTTTTTTTTTAAAGGTGAGGAAATAAGAGGCACGTAAATATTTTTCTCGATTTTGTTTCGACAAAAAAAAAAAAAAAAGTTTCACAACCCTTGACGCTCTCATCACGAGCAGTCTCGTGCAGTTATATAGTCGTCCCGTTTTGGCAGTCGAGGGCACCGCGGGGCCACGCCCCCCCTCCCCCCTGGGGCCAGGGGCGGGGCCAGGGGCACCAGCGCTGGACCTATATATACACGAGCCTATAGGAGTTGTCTGCTTACAGACAAGCCGTCGATCCCTCTCCCGCACGAAGAGAACCCACGCCGGCCCTCAATTCACGTTATGAATGTGCTAAACATGGAGGTGAGTCCTTTTTTTCCATTGCTTTTGTTCTCCCATGTGGCAAATATGAGTCTTTGTGCTTGAGGCTGTTTAATGTAATTAATCCAGATCTATTTTTAAAGTTAAATCACTTTGCACCCGCGTTTACAGTGGTGTAGGCTATACTTAATTATTTGAATTGTAAATAACTGTACATTTAAATAAATGCATTCAACGTTGAGCATTTCCTTGAGAAAAGTTATATTTAAACATTTTAGCCAGCTCTAAAGTTAGCAAAATGCACTTCTGAAAGTAGTTGTGTAACGAAAGAACATCAATCTTCTTTTTCCTAACTTTTCAATTCTTTCTCCTTTCAGATTGACATGTATTCTGACTACTTTGAGAACAGTACTGACAACCTCTCTGACGATTCTGTAGACTTTGACATAGACTTCCAGGAGCCATGTGGCAGATCGCTCAGCAACAACTTCAACCAGATCTTCCTCCCAACAGTTTATGGAATTATATTCATTTTGGGAATGATTGGCAATGGATTAGTCGTTGTGGTCATGGGCTACCAGAAAAAGGTCAAAACCATGACGGACAAGTACCGGCTCCATCTCTCCGTGGCCGACCTCCTGTTTGTCCTCACGTTGCCCTTCTGGGCTGTTGATGCAGCTAAGAGCTGGTACTTTGGGAGTTTCCTCTGTGTGTCCGTGCACGTGATCTACACGCTGAACCTGTACAGCAGCGTTTTGATCCTGGCCTTCATAAGCTTAGACAGATACTTAGCGATTGTGCGGGCCACCAACAGCCAGGACACAAGGAAGCTGCTTGCAACCAAAGTGATCTACGTGGGCGTGTGGCTGCCTGCAGTTCTGCTGACTGTACCTGACCTGGTGTTTGCCAGGGTGCAAGAAGCATATCCTTTGAACTCCCCCTTTCCAAACCAAAGCATGGAGGCCGTGGACTCCAGGATCATGTGCCAGCGCACCTACCCGCAAAAACACAGCGTCGAATGGACGGTTGGTTTCCGATTCCAGCAAATCCTAGTGGGCTTCATACTGCCCGGTCTGGTCATCCTCAACTGCTACTGCATCATCATCGGCAAGCTGTCGCAAGGCGCCCGGAGCCACGCTCAGAAGAGGAAAGCGCTGAAGACCACGATCATCCTCATCGTTTGTTTTTTCTCCTGCTGGCTGCCGTACTGCGTCGGCATCTTTTTGGACAACCTGGTGATGCTGGGGGTGATCTCGCTCTCATGCGATCTGGAGCAAGCGGTGGAGAAGTGGATATCCATCTCCGAGGCGCTGGCCTATTTCCACTGCTGCCTAAACCCCATCCTCTACGCCTTTCTGGGGGTTAAGTTCAAGAAGTCGGCCAAGAGCGCCCTGACGGCCAGCAGCAGATCGAGTCAGAAAGTAACTCTAATGGCCAAAAAGCGAGGGCCAATTTCCTCCGTGTCCATCGAGTCCGAGTCCTCCAGCGCTTTGACGAGTTAACAAACGGCCTTCATACTCTCAGGAGAGGAAAATAATAACTAAGCTTCAGTTTCAAAGAACCAACTACATTTTGTACAGAAAGAGGTTGTTATACTTTGTTTTTTCTTTCGCGTTGGTTTACTGCATTTGTGTTCTTATTGTGATGTGTGAAAGTTTGATGTTCCTCGAAGCAGATTGTGTCCGCAGGCTGTGGCTCATTTCCATTCACTGCAGTTTTTAGAAATCAGGATCTATTTTCCCTGTTTTTATCTTTGCAAACTGTCAAAGCCCAGCCTTACAATGCCCTGCTTTCTTTTTCTATGGATGGCAGCTGCTCTTCGAAACCTGTACATTGTTTGCAGAATTTGTGTGATCGCACTTAAGCCGTGTGATTTTTTTTTCGGGTTTTTTTTTTTATGCCTATTATTTATTGCCGTCATTCACACTGGATGTTTTGTAAAAGAACGAAACTGCACGCTGCTTTTTTAACATTTTCAACTGTTTTTTTTAATGTAAATAAATAAAGTTCTGTACTTTTTATAATGTGTGGTGTGTATTTTTTCCTAAAAACCAGCACCTCCTTCCCTCAGGGGGAGGAGGAGGAGGTGTGTGTGTGTGTGTGTGTGTGAGAGTGCGTGCGTGTGTTGGAGGGAGGGGATGTGGGGGAAGGAGGAGGGCAACCCAAATGTTTCCACCTGATCTAGCTAGAAAGCAGAAGGAGGACTGAGCGGACGAGCCCTGTAATTGCAAGAACATCTGTCTCCTTTTACATCTTAAGCAGCCGTGAGCTTAAAGCTTAAATCTTTGGTTATAATTAGCAACCATATGGCTCCTTCACAAATAAAATGGCACATTTCATTCTCCTATTTCCAGTTTTCTTTCAATTCAGTTTGCAAGGTATACTGCCTCTATTGTGATTGGCTTGTGAACACGTGTCGTCCTAATTCACTTCAGAGTGGGTCAATCGAGCTATTTCCCTGCTCCCAAAACATAAACGTATTCTGCTAAGATTCACGCTGACATACTCTGTTAGGCAATAAATCTGCAGGAATTCTGCATAGAACTTGACCATTGCCCTGCCATGGCAGACCAAAGGAAGTTGGCGACAATAGATATCATGGAAAATGGAGTCGTCAAATGGCCGCTGAGCTACGTAATGCTGCCGTCCATTCAAACCCCCAAAAGGAGGAACATTTCCATTTCTATACATGTAAAACAGGTGTAAAGTGTCCCCATCAGGCCACACGGCTAATGAGTATTTTGGGGTTCTGGTCTATTGCAGTGCAGCAGGATAAAACAAAAGATGCTTTCTTTAGTTGGAAATGTTCTCAGATGTTTCAGGATTAGCATTAGAGCGGCGCTGGCTGCGTCTGTGCAGGGAATGATCCGGGGGTTAACACTTGGAGGCTTCCGATGAATGCACTTCAACTGCTTCTTTCACCGTCCTCAGGAAGGGGTCGTTAGAGGCTTCATGCTCATCGATGCAGAGTTAAATAGCGAGCCGCTAATAGATGGGGATAGTATGGACCTAAGGCACATGTCAGGTATCCCAAAATTAACAGAAGCTGAGCATTAGTACAAAATAACAATTTTATAAAAACGAAAGGGAAAAATGTGAACGCGAAACTCTAAACCCGTCTTCACAATTTTTTCTCGTGTGGTTTTATTGCATCTTCTTAGATACTTAACTGTTGTCAACCAAGTGTCCAAAGTACCCACTTAAGTGCACAAGCAGTACTCGGGCCCTTTTGGGAATACACCCTTGGTTGTGTCCTTTCATTCATAATTAAAGCTTTTGCTCTCTCTGGGTGATGAGAAAATATCCACTGCCCAACAACATTACAACAAGTACACACGTGTTGAATTTAATGCTATCATGACATCAACTTAACTTACGAGCGACAATATGATTACCAAGAAGTTCAGAGATGGTTTCAAAGCCGCGTTGGTAGGGAGAAAAGTGAAATAATACCAGGGGTTCCCTTTGGTCAATGACTTGCTCCACTAATGGTTACGTTGTTTTGGTTGGAAAGTGAGCCGCAGGACTGCTGTTTCCTGCATCAGGAGCTCCTGTGGCCAACAGCCTGAGAAAAGATTTAATGACCCCCCACTGTATTCCAACCACCATGCTCGCTATGCGCGACCATTCCTGCAAAGGTCACTGCATACCTGGATGCCTCAGTGCACTCAGGCATGGATGTTTTTTTCATGGTGTTCCTTTTTGTGTTCAAGTGGATATATATGACATGTTCTGTCTTGATGTTGTGCTAACTGGAGTAACATTACATTAACAAATAAGGACAGTAAAGCTGGGAAAATACAGTTAAAGCATTAACGGGAAGGGTATCTGAACAGGTATGAAAATGAAATGGAAGTAAATATGTATAAAATGCACCAATGAAAAACAAAAAAACTATGAGAATTGTTTTGTGTCAACAAATGGCTCATTTGGAATGGCTCAAAGGCCTTCACATTTCTAATTGCCATATATGAACCCAGTTGAAAACAGTATGTGTATAATAATGATGGAATTTACCTTAAGCTATTTTTTTAATGGCTGCTTCGATTACTTAGTGTACCGCACGAGCAGGCACGACCAAATTAGTTGGCCGGAACTACACGTTAAAAACTTCGTTTCCAGCCGGAACCCAAAGCATCCGGTAATTGGTGCTCCGTCAAAACAAGTCCTTCCTTCCTGTGCACGTCCATGCAGTGAACAGCTGATGTGCTGGTTCTCACTAAACTTTTAACATTGTATCCTCGTCCTCCAAGAATATAGCTCAACATGACTAAAGAGGAAGCCCCGGGGTAAGCAAGGGGGGGGGGAGTTGTGCGTTTCATAACTCGCGTCTCACAGCCAAGCTAGCGGTGTGCTAGCACTCTGCGGGTAGCAACGAGCTAACGTTAGCATTTCCTGAGCGAGCAGCGGATTGCATCATCTGACAGTTCAAGTCAAGCCGTCGTGAAGATTTACTCACGTGGACAAAATGTTTAAATAGCAGCACAATAAAGCGTAAAACATGACACCCCCCCCCCCCCCCCGGTTTGTGTGTCCTCGGTGCGGACTTGTTCTTTCTAAACACCAACATCAGGGGACACGATGTTTCAAAGGCCCTTAGGTTAGGTGTCTCGTGATTGCATCATCTAATAACTTCATATGAAAAATCCTTTCATACCTAAGTTAGCGCACCTTGTGCTTTGTATGATTATAGTCGTACTGCTCGATACAATTGGCAAGTTTTTCCAAAATGCAACTTTTTACGTCTAGAAGTAGTTTTCAAATCGCAACCTGCCCGGCCCTGCTAACATTTGCCTCTGGTCATGGGCACAGAATCAAGAGTTTTCTCTTTTAATTAAGTCTTTTAATCAGAGTTCCAGACCGAAAGGAACGTTTGAGCTGTCAAACAAGTCCTCAACTAACTAACTTAGTTACTAACTACTCGCATTCCAGAAATGGGGGAAAAAACTGTTAAATTTAGTAACCTTAAAATGTTTGGCTGGCTGGTTTTATGTGGGTTGTTTCAACTATATAGTCCAGAACATTATTAAAATATGTGCCACCAGAATACTCTAAACCAATACAGCATTGCCACAGATAGACGTTTTAACAACAGCGGATGCGTAGAAACAAACTCCTTTAAAAAGGTATTTTAAAGTATGGATGCATTGCATTTGAAGGAAAAGGGTTCTCATTAGTAAGTTGGTGTTCTTTGGAAGGATTTTGACTCACAGCCTCGGGGATCGATAACAGGACTCGTCGTGCAGCTGTTCACTGTTTTCATGAATCCACCTGTTCAACTGTCCATCTGTTTTTCTTCAGCCTAGTAATTGTCGGTAGTTGACGAAAGGGGATTTTCTTTTTATGTTTAACTATGACACATAATCATCTTTTGGACAACCCTAAGGTGTGTGTTGTTGTGATTTGTAAGCAGTTTGTAGTTGTTTGTTGATAGCGGCTTCAGTCCAACTCAACTCAATTGGCCTGGGGAGTAAAAAGATCCGGTTTAACAAATCCAACTGGTGGAACATTGGGGGAATCACAATTGATCTTTATCTTTTAAAAGGAAGAAGCATTCCTCTTGTGAACATACGTGTGAGTGGCCTCGTGTTGGCTTTGCTCTTAACCTTGACTGCAAGTAGATTGGAGGAATAACTCATTTGTTTATCTCTCCCCAATTTGCGAAGGACACTTGGTTTGTACCAAAGCCCCACATGGCACGCAAGGCATCCGCAAATTATTCTTACATGAGGAACTACATCAAATTATGTTTACAAAGGCTTAATTTTTCAGTCGTATACGCTACATCCTTGGAAAAAATTCAAATGTTGAGCAATTCGTAGATTAACGGAAGTATCCATCCCAAAAAATAAAATGTACCCTTTGGTCCAGATTCATAAGTCTCACTAATCAAGGTAGCATCAGATCTTAGTACAGTGCATCTTTTTTTGTATAATCTACAAACGCCTCATGGGAAATCCAAAAACGACTTGCCCTTTTAACCGTGGCTGCGAGGGAGTTCTAAAGCTTGCTCTCTGCAAGCCTCCCGTGGAAGATGAGGAGGTGCTCTTTTGGGACTTTTGTTCCTTGTTTAGGCTTTATTGCTATGAATAGTCGGCCTTTGGTCTTTGTTGTTTCCTGCGAATACATTTGGAGCAGTTCACAGGCTTCCTCAAGCTCTACACACCTGCTCACCGGGGAACATCTAACAGCACTCAGCCAGTGTTTCCCTCTAGCACAGCTTGAAAGGTGCTTTTTTTCCAGTAAACATTATTTAAAATCAACGACAAAATATGAACGCCTGCTTAACATTTGCAAATGCTATTTGTGTTCATTTCTGCATGCCGTACTGTGACCTGATTGTCCCGTCTCGATAAGAGTGTGCCGTTGTGTCGTCTACTGCGCTGTTGCTTATCAGCGATGCCATTGTGTTCCGCTGTGTATTGTGCCATTTAGCAAATAAAGACACGTATGCTTTCAGATCAAGCCAACTGTTATCATAATCAGATAAACCTATATTCTACATAAACTCTTTAACGGATTAGAAAGTGCTGCTGAGACTACTGTCTTCTGGTGTTTGCCTTGCTAATCTTACTTTCTTACCGCTCTGCTTTTAGACGCTCTTCATCTCCCCCTTCGCACGGGCTAAAGCTGTTTTGTTAGGCACAACAATGGGATTAAGGCACTGCACACACTTTAAAAGCTGGAGGTGGCGATGGCTCAGAACCGATTTTTTTTTTTTTCCCAGGCGGTTAAAAACTTCCTCCTGGGATCCATGTGAAATAGAAGGTGGAAGTTGCCTGAGATGTTTGTGCCGTGTACCTCTTCCTGTTTCAGGGCGACGGAGGAGGAGCAGCAGGCTCAGTCAAAGAAAGGTCTGAAGAAACAGCAGAAGGAAGCAGAGAAAGCGGCAAAGAAGGCTGAGAAACAGGCCAAGCTGGTCAGTGTTGTTGTCTTTTTTTTCTTCTTTCTTTTGTTTGTTTCACATCCGCCGCCCCCTCTTACAGCTGGCAGGGCTGTGATGTGCTCCTCTGCAGGGCAT